GTGACTCAATTTTTTTTTTAATTCAGGCTCAACATTTACAAGTAGGATTTTTGATAATATTTAAATCAGATAAATCCTTAATATTTGTGGTTTTTTTTTTTTTTAATTTAATGATGGATCCACTTAGAATCGATTTTGTGTAGTTATTTTTTGTATTTTATTTTATTTTTTACTAAGTATGGACCCGATAAAAAGCCCAATTCAGTATTCACAGTCAAATTGATTTCGTTATAAAATGATCCATATTAAAAAATTTGAAATATGTATCTCACTTAAAATCAATTCCTTAAATATGGATTTAGGGGCAATCGTCCCTTCGCCCTCCCCCATAAAATACGCCCATGAGCAGTGTTATGGCACACTCAAATTGTGTACCCACGCGTTTACCAAAAAATCGTCTATTTTTAGCCAGATTCCATGAATTTTGTATTACATTGCTACCAAGTCTAGTAAGTTCATATATTTTAAAGAGGTAAAATAGTGAATACATAATATTGTTTTTCACATAAAACTATGAACAATTAAATCCCTGATTTATTTTTTTTTTTTACTAATATTATGTATATTTATGTATTCTTATTGTCTATATATTTGTATTAACTGACAATTTATCTTTATTTACACAATACATTTTATTCTGTTTTAAAATAATTTCATAATTATTTTTTTTGTTTTCTATATTTTAAAACTTTTAGTAAAAACTATTATTGTTTGGTAATTAAAATAATAAATTTACACAGTTAATATATAAATACAATAAGTAAAAGGTAAAGTAAATTAAACATAATGGTAAAACATATAACACATATAATTTATAACATACTTGATATATTAAAAATTATTAATTTTGATGTGTTTGTGAGAGTACTTGGATTGAACTAGTTTAGTTTTCATTGCGATATTTTAATTTTGCTATTTAAGATTGTTTAGAGTAGTATATACAAGTACAATAACTTTAGTTGCTTCAAAAGCATGATCACGATCACCATAATTACAAGTTAAGTTTTGTACTTTTATATATTTAGTGGTTTCGTATGCTCGTTCTATAAATATATAATAAGACATGTTTAATAAGAATTATGAACAGTAATTTAAAAGTTATTTTATTATTAATACGCGAGCTCTATCATATTATATCATACAATATATGTGTAACAACCGAAAATATTAATTTAACAGTAAACACAGATATTATTAATTTTATGATGCTCTTAATGATCACAAAAAATGCTCTAAAAATACAAAAATACACTTTTAAAAATGTATGATTTATTAAATATTAAAAATAAAAAGTACATAAAAGTAAGAAAACAACATTAAATATTTAAAAATTTTAAAATAAATAACTAAAATCATCCTAATTAATCATCTATAATTATGATGAGCAATGGTGGACCATGGTGATATTTAACTTTGTCAACAAAATACATAATTTAAAATAAAAAATTATATAATTTTCAGCCTTTACTACTCATATATTTGTGAAAGATTTAAAAATGTAGCATAATCATTTTTATTTGGTTTTACTCGTATTTTAATGTTTAAAAATATTTATAGCCCATAGAAAATCATTTGAAAATAATTTAATTTTTCAAAATGCTGTTTGAATTTTTTATTTTAAAATAAAATCGAATTAAAAACTATAGCAGGTCAAAGATTTTCTTTTGTCACAGAACTGTTATTTAGTCTTATCCATCGCCATGATTCATTCAAATTTTTTAGTATCTTTTTTGGGTTGTGATGATTACAACATCACTTATTGCAAATTGTAACTATTGGTAAACTTCAAAATTCAGTACCTCTCACAACGTATTAAAAACCGAGTTGTAAAACTATGTGTGTTATCTATGTGCTTATCGTTTTACTTTTGTTTATGCGGGGTAAATAATTGAGAGCAAATATAATTTTAGATAATATTATCCAATCCAGGTGTATCTTCCCGTTGTGTTTTAGACAGCATATAGATATAAACAATATAATACATTTAAGTCCGCTATCTGTTAGTGTTTTGAACAGGTCTCCTTCGTAAATATACGGTGTTCGATAAAATATTAACATAGTATTTAAAATCAGCAGAATCTTATGCATTTCTCTCATTATAATTGTATTTATTATATAACAACAGTGAATAATTATCATTTTCAATTAATGTGGTAATATTTTGATTTCATTTAATAACCATATTAATCATGTTCTTTGGGATATGCATTAAATTATTATACAGGCGCCATTTGAGGAGTGACTTAAAGGAGCTCAGTCCACCCAAAAACGTAGGTGCATTATAAATTTAGCATCAGATTTTTTATTGACTACTTGGCAAACATTTTTATTTTAGTTTCCATAATTTTTTAAAAGAATTTTGAATCTACAGTAAATTAATTTTTCTTCAAATAAACATGTCCTCGCATAAATACAGTAGTATTCAACGGGATACCACATATTTTGCTTTCCGTGTATAGACTTAGGAATGTCAAATGGTTAGTAATTCGATGTATAATCAGTGGCATCATCCAAGTCCACTGGAGAAGGTGGGATACGATGGTATTATCTTTAACTACGGTTTCTTAGTTTTTGAAGGATAATACATACATAAGTGATACTACGGATGATAGGAGGCAGGAGGGTTTCCCCCTGAGAGTTCTTACTCCCTCTATACATTTAAAATGTTGGTTGGTAACCCCTCATATCACATGCTTATTTGGAGTCTGCATGGTTGTTTATAACGGGGGTGGGCAACTGGTGGCCCGCGAGCCTTTTTTATCTGGCCCATGCTATATTTTCAAATTATTTTTTTAATGCTTTGCTTTTTCCAAAATTACAATAATTATGAAAATAAAATACAATTTATTATTGTAGATATTAAGTAATTTTTTTTATATGCTGCTACATTTATTCTTCTTCTAGCTTTTTATGCACCGATTATTATTGGTTTTCACTGTTAAGGTAATTAATTATTTATTATATTTTAGTTTCTTAATTGATGCTTACTATATATTTTGATGAATTTTATTTATTTATTTATTTTGATTCCGAATTGATTCGGTTCATAATGTATGGAAATAATTGAAAGCTGGATAATGTACGTATGTATATCTTTTTTTATATGGCTTGGTGACATTTCAGAATGGTCTACTTGAAACCTCGCACACACCAAAAAAAAACCTGTCTTTAATATAGGAGTGCAGTGAGGTTATGAATTAAAAAATACCAGATTTAGCCACAATGTAAATTTTACTACCTTGATAGGCTGACTTTTTTGGGAAGGAGTTTGGAACTCGGCTTTTTTTCACTGTTAGATTTTTTTTTGGGATTTTAACTATATTAGTTTCTTCGTATCATTCGTGTCATATTGTCGTGTATGTTGAATTTAATGTTTCTGTGTTTATAAATGCTAATTAAAATTCATATTCTAAATTACTTTTTTTTTCTTTTTTTTCTACGCTCTGGATCGCTAAATTTTAATTTTCTAAAAAGTGATCCTCTAGTAACTTTAAGTTGCCCATCCCTAGTATATAATAATATAATTATCTACAACCGTGGGAGCCAGTCATGTAAATATGCTGGTAAGATTATTTGCGCCTACATATTCAAATTATTTATTTTTATCAATTGACAAATCATGAACCAATATTATTACTATATTATTATCTGTATCACAAATGTTGAGTTTTTTTGGATAATACTAATTATGAACACAAACCAAAGTAAAAAATGAAAACTTTATATAACTTTTTCATACAAGAACTATCACAGGTTAGGTAAAAATTATGATATAAATAATTATGGTAAGTTATTATTTAAAAAATGTATGAGGTAAGGTAATATAAATTTAGTTATTTGCAGGGGCGGCTTCAGAACCTTGATTAGGAGAAGGGGGGGGCAAGTTACAATTTTACAAAATTTTATAAAAAAAAGAAAACAACAATTTTTACAACACAAATTCAAGTCGTCTATTTTTAAAATCGAAAAAAAATATCAATAATATGATCTATTTGATCAAGAATATCTGCTTTAAGATATACATTAATTGGACATAATGCTGATAGTCTACCTTCAGTTATCTTTGAACGAAGCCAGGTTTTTAGTCTCCGAAGTGTGGAGAAACTCCTTTCAACCGTTTTACCTCTATGGCTCTATCTAAATACTTGTGCGGGTCTTATGATAGTCCATATTATAATATGCATTTTTTGCTAACAATATAAATATTTTTATAAGTATGGTACGGGCTTGGAGGGGGGCCGCGGCCCTTAGACTCTCCGTGATCATTTGTAATTGTACTATTCATTTTACAAAACAATCTTAATTTGAAATAAGTTAAAAATAAGTTAAAATAGTTATGAACAAAAACTTTTTTTAGAGTATTGCTAGTCTAAGGATTTGGACAAAATAGTGTTAATATTTTACTCGGAGCATTTCCTGCTCCGCACTCCTGCCATGAGGGTCTAGTACCGCCTATGGATATATATGAATGGAGGGTTGAAAAAAATCGGCTACTTACTCCAACCGAATAATTACGATTATCGTTTTGAACGCGGTTTGATATTTCGTTTACACAGCGGGGTCAGTCGAACGGTGTGATAACACGATCGTCGTCGTCGTCGTCAAAATAAAAACACGCTTTGCCGAACGCACAAACACGTCAAAAGCGTTGTTGTCGAGTGCGACCGGGGAGGGGGTGGGGGAACGAAACAAAACAATATCGTGTACGCGCACGCGCAACGACGGTCGCGCGCTCGCGTACACGTGTTTTACCGGCGCAGAGCTTACAACAGCGCGGGGGGTGGAGGGAGGGCGCGCGACCGGAACGCGTACGAAAATAATTTAGAAAACCGTACGCGCGTCGGAACGATGTGTATCTTATCGGCAGTGTTGCACGCGCAGCGCGCGACGCTGGCGACAA